GGGCTTAAGCCATCCTCCTGCCTCAGCCTCCCAAAGTGCTGGGATTACAGGCATTGGCCACTGCATCCAGCCCCCCTCCATTCTTGCTGCTGTGTTTACCCCAATGGGTGGATGCAAAACTCCATTTCCATCCTCAGAGTCCCAGATGGGCCTGAAAATTAAATTGACATAGGACAGATTAATAGGAGAAAATAACACAAATTTATTTAATTAAAGTTTTACGGGGCACAGAAGCCCTCATAAGGGAATGAAAACCCAATCAATGGGGATGATGACAACCCCAGGTGATTGAATGTCTCGCTGATGGCAATCACCACAGCATGCTGACCGCCCCCTGGGAAGAAAAAAAAAAGAAAAGAAAACCCAATCAAGCAGATAGAGTTGGTTACTTACATACTGAATTGGACAAAGAATAGTAAGATGTGAAGGAACTGCTAAATTATGTGGGGAAACTTAAAAGATAAGAGTTATTTTAACAAGGTCTGTACAGAATTCTCTCATCTCAACTTGTCACCCGTGAGGATAAAGATGTAGCATCTTTCACATAGGAACTTCATCTCCTGCTTTTAAGAAACAGCATGGGCCAGGTGCAGTGGCTCACGTCTGTAATCCTAGCACTCTGGGAAGCCAAAGCGGGAGGATCACTTTAGATCAGGAGTTTGACTTCATCTCTACTAAAAAATAAAAAATTAGCTGGGCATGGTAGCGCATGCCTGTGGTCCCAGCTACTGGGGAGGCTGAGGCAGGAGGATCACTTGAGCCCAGGAGTTTGAGGTTGCTGTGAGCTAGACTGACACCATGGCACTATAGCCTAGGTAACAGAGTGAGACTTTGTCTCAAAAAAAGAAAAAGAAAGAAACAGCATAAAGGCCAGAGTGGTCTTTCTATACCTGCAGTTTTTTCCAGTGCCTTTTACTTAGTCAATAAGTGTGTTTTAACTCCTTTATTTCCCCCTTTTGGAACTTCCGTAGAAGTTTCATATATGAAAAGCTGATTTAAGACATCTGCACTCGAATGTTCATAGCAGCACAATTCACAATTGCAAAGATGTGGAAACAACCCAAATGTCCATCAATACATGAGTGGGTTAATAAACTGTGGTATATGTATACCATGGAGTACTATTCAGCTTTAAGAAACAATGGTGATATAGCACCTCTTGTATTCTCCTGGAAAGTGCTGCAACACATTCTACTAAGTGAGGTATCCCAAGAATGGAAAAACAAGCACCACATGTACTCACCATCAAATTGGTATTAACTGATCAACACTTAAGTGCACATATAAGAATAACATTTATTGGATGTTGGGCAAGGGGAGGGGGAAGGAGGGGACGGGCATATACACAAACAATTAGTGCGATGCGCACCTCCCAGGGGATGGACACGCTTGAAGCTCGGACTTGGGGGGGAGGGGGGACAAGGGCAACGTACGTAACCTAAACATCTGTACCCCCATAATATGCCGAAATAAAAAAAATAAAATAAAAGCTGATTTAGGCTGGGTGTGGTGGCTCATGCCTGTAATCCTAGCACTTTAGGAGGTCCAGGTGGGAGAACGACTTGAAGCCAGGAGGCCAGGAGTTCAAAACCAGCCTGAGGCCACTCAACAGAGAGCAAGACTCTGTCTCAAAAAAAAAAAAAAAGGCTGATTTGATGACTGTGAAGGGAAGAATCATGTTAGTAGCTGAGCAGCAAGAGATCTGCAAAGGGAGAGAAGAACATAAATTGGAACAAGCAGAAAAGAACAAATGTAAGTACGTTGTCCAATATCTTATTGAATTAGTCTCTTAGTCATGAGAATAGTTCGATTGGGCAATTGTGTCTCATTTTAGGAGGCAATATTGTAGGTGGGCTTTTATCTAAGTTAGGCCTCTATATAGTGAAAGCAAACAAGTACTTAATGAGACACATTAAGCAAGAAAAAAAAGGTTAATGGCTGGAGCAAATACAAACCAAGATTTTGTGTTCAGAGGGCAGTAAGTTGAAAAGATAACTAGATGTTGGGTTCAAAGCACTTTTACTTGGAGTGGGGGGAAGGCAGTGGCAATTTTGATGAATTTCGGTTTGTAGTTGAATGTCTCTGGTGATGTCATTTGATGTTCTAGTGAACTTTTCAAGTGGCCTATATAGTAATAGGCATGAAGGTTATCCACACGTGATCTGTTGTGATTTCTCTGAAGTTTATGTCAAGTCTTCCAGCTTTAGCTTGTTAGGACTTCAGGGAAATGGTAGTTTTAGTTTTTAGTGATTCCAAGTGAGAAGATGGGAGAGAAATTGGAAATGTTAATTATTGACAAAATGCACAAAATGGCAGGAGTCAGTTCACCAAGAGGAAAAAGCTTAAAGTCAGTGAATGTGGCACTGTTCAACATCCCATAATGGTGTATTATATAGAGTTTTTATTGAAATATAGAATTTTTTCCCTACAGTCATCTGCATTTTTATCAAAGATGAAGTCCAACTGTGGTTGCTTGAACTTTTGGTGTCATGTTTAGGAAACTATTGCCTAATCCAGGTTCATGAAGATTTACTCCTGTGTTTTCTTCTAAGAGTTTTATAGTTTTAGCTCTTATATTTAGGTCTTTGATCCATTTTTAGTTAATTTTTATATGTGGTACAAGGTAGGAATCCAACTTCATTCATTTGCATGTGGATATCTAGTTGTCCCAGAACAGTTTGCTGAAGACAATTCTTTCCCCCATTTAATTGTTTTGGCACCCTTGTCAAAAAATCAGTTGGCCGGCAAGAGAATGAAAAGACAAGCCACAGACTGGGAGAAAATATTTGCAAAAGACTCATCTGATAAAGGACTGTTATTCAAAACACACAGAGAACTTTTAAAACTCAACAATGAGAAGACAAACAAGCTAATTTAAAAATGAGCATAAAATCTGAATAGACACCTCACCAAAGAAGATACATAGATGGCAAATGAGCATGTGAAAACCATACATCATTAGGAAATTGCAAATTATTATAAAGCAACAATGAAGCTAGGCTGGTGACACAACCCTGTAATCACAGCACTTGGAAGGTTGAGGTGGGAGGATCACTTGAGGCCAGGAATTTGAGACCAGCTTGGGCAACATAGCAAGTCCTCCTCTTTAAAAAATACAAAAAATTAGCTGGGCATGGTGGTGCGAGCTGTAGTCCCAGCTACCCAGGGTTCCCTTGAGCCCAGGAGTTCAAGGCTGCAGTGAGCTATGAGTGTGCCACTGCACCTCGGCCTGGGTGGCAGAGCAAGACCCCATCTCTAAAAAAAAATTTTTAAATAAAAAGTTGGCTAAAATTCAGAACACTGACAACACCAAATGCTGGTGAGGATGTGGAGCGACAGGAACTCTCATTCGTGCTGGTGGGAATGCAAAGTGGTACAGCCACTTTGGAAGACAATTTGGTTGTTTCTGACAAAGCTAAACATATTCTTACCAAACAATCCAGCAGTCATGCTCTTTGGTGTTTGCCCAAATGAACTGAAAACTTATGTCCACACAAAAGCCTACACACAGATATTTACAGCAGCGTTATTCATAAATGCCCAAACTTAGAAGCAATCAAAGATACCCTTCAGGAGGTAAAAAAATAAATAAATTGTAGTACATCCAGGCAATGGAATATATTCAGTGCTAAAAAGAAATGAGCTATCAAGCCATGAAAAACAGGAACCTCAAATGCATATTACAATGCTAAGGGAAAGATGCCAGTCTGAAAAGGCTACATACCATATAATTCCAACTATGTGATGTTCTGGAAAAGCCAAAACTATGGAGACAGTAAAAAGATCAGTGGTTTACAGGGAATGGAGGAGGAAGGGACAAATAGACAGAGCATGGAGGATTCTTAGCACACTGAAACTATTCTGTGTGATACTACAATGTGGATACATTTGTCAAACACCCATAGAATGTACAAGGGTTGGGTATAGTGGTTCATGCCTGTCATCCTAGCACTTTGGCAGGCTGAGGCAGGAGGATTGCTTGAGCCCAGGAGTTTAAGATCAGTCTGGGCAACAAAGCAAGACTCTGTCTCTACAAAAAATGGAAAAATTATTTCGGTGTGGTGGCACATGCCTATAGTAGCACAGGCCAGAAGTAGGAGGAGCACTTGAGCCCATGAGTTTGAGATTGCAGTGAGCTATGATGATGCTACTACACTCTAGCCTGGACGACAGAGCGAGACTCTTTTTTTTTTTTTGAGACAGAGTCTCGCTCTGTCACCCAGGCTAGAGTGCCGTGGCGTCAGCCCAGCTCACAGCAACCTCAAACTCCTGGGCTCAAGCGATCCTTCTGCCTCAGCCTCCTGAGTAGCTGGGACTACAGCCGTGCACCACCATGCCCGGCTAATTTTTTCTATATATTTTTAGTTGTCTGGCTAATTTCTTTCTATTTTTAGTAGAGACGGGGTCTCACTCTTGCTCAGGCTGGTCTCGAACTCCTTGAGCAATCCTTGAGCAATCCTCCCGCCTCAGCCTCCCAGACGTCTAGGATTACAGGTGTAATCCGTAATCCTACAGATTCTGTTTAAAAAAAAAAAAAGGATTATACAGCACCAAGAGCAGCCCTGATGGTGATAATGATGTGTCAATGTAGGTCCATCAGTTGTAACAAATGTACCATTCTGTACTGGATGGCCGGATGTCAGTAGTGAGAAAGGTTATGCATGTGTGGGGGCAGTGCATATATGAGAACTCTCTGTACTTTCTGCTCAATGTTGTGAACCTAAAACTGCTCTGAAAAATAAAGCCTATTTTTTTTAAAAGATGAGGTCTTGCTATGTTGCCCAGATTGGAGTGCAGTAGCTATTCACAGGTATAATCATAGTGCATTGTAGTCTTGAACTCCTGGGCTCAAGCCATCCTCCCACCTCAGCCTCCTGAGTAGCTGAACTACAGCCACCACACCCAGCTAATAAATTCTATTTTTAAAAAATCAATTGGCCATAAATGTAAGGGTTTATTTCTGGATTCTCAATTCTATTCCATTGATCTATACATACATATTCCCTTATGTCAGTACCAGAGTCTTATTACTATAACTGCAAGCAGTTTAAAAATCACGGACCGGGCGCGGTGGCTCATGCCTGTAATCCTAACACTCTGGGAGGCCAAGGAGGAAGGATCGCTTGAGGTCAGGATTTCGAGACCAGCCTGAGCAAGAGCAAGACCCTGTCTCTACTAAAACTAGAAAGAAATTAGCCAGACAACTAAAAATATATAGAAAAAATTAGCCGGGCATGGTGGCACATGCCTGTAGTCCCAGCTACTT